TAGAGATTTTTTTAACTTAAAACTTGAAGTTCACATAATTAACATATTCGATTATTTTCACAAAACGTATTTTTTCTTAATAAACAAACGATTGTCTTTCCACATTGTTATGTATTTTTCATTACTAAATAAATTTTGATAAAAAAATTATTAATGATAATAATAATTGTTATTGGAGTGAGACTCTTGAGGTTAATTAGGATTATTTTTCAATTAGAGTCCTTTCAATTTTGATATATTTAATATGATTACAATTCTGCCACTAAAAATCAATTAAACATAAGTTCAATTTAGTAGGTGCAATTTTTTACAAAATCATTCCTCCATTTATAATAATATAGATATATAGATTTAGATATAGATATAGATTAATAATAGTATAGATATAAATATCGATTAATATAAACGTTTTCGCGAGGTTAGCGTTTTTCAGGTTTGTGCTTAAGTGGAAACGACTTCTAGGAGCCTTATAAAATATAATGATTTTGTTTTGCCTTTTTTATTTTTTTTACTTTTTTAATCATTTTTTGTGTGTGGATAACACCTTTTTTTTTATCATTTTTTGTGTGTGAATAACACCTTGTACGTATGGTTTATAGTTTTAGATGGAACTGAAAATTGGAGATTTCTACCGAAATTCTCTATGCGCATGCCTTTCATGTATGACCCAATATACAGATCAAGTCAATCACATTGCAAATGTTAAAACTAAAAACAAGAGCAAGAAAGATGATAGAAATAAATCAAGAAAGTCATAACCTCACATTCAATTAATTGTTTATTGTTTTCCATTCAAACATCTTCTTAAAAGACTCGCTGTCATACGACAAATAGATACCATCTTTCCTTGCTTCCCAAAAACATTCATGTAGCCGACAATTATGTTTAGAGGTAAATATATCAAAAGCAATTTCCTTGTCTTGCCACCAAAGATGGCAAAAATATAAAGTATTTTTCCAAATACTCTCACAAAACTTCCAATGGAAATCAAAATTTGGAACAACTTTATGATATCCAAGTTCATTATCACCCGATGCACAATGAAATTTGAGTCTTGGATACGGAAGCCTGTTAATTAGATGAACCTCATACTCGTCAGTGAAACACCCTTTGGTTAGGAATATGTAAGTGAATAAGACGAGAAGTACCAAACCTTTAGTACCACTCATGATCAATGCCTTGTATTGTATGTGAAACGCAAAACTTTTTGTGAAGTATTTGGTTGGTTTGGGATGCAATTTATAGGTCTTGGAAATCAACATGGCGAAATCAAGTGTCAATATAATTGGGACACATTTAGAAAATACTTCAAATATGAAATTTGATATACTATACATGTTCGTAATTTGTAATTGACTATGTCAACATTGCCTAGTGAATACTATGAAGTTTATACAAATTTTTGGAATGTGATTGTTAGGTGAAACAGAATCTAATTTCAGTGATGGTGAAGAGGATGAAAAATTGTTTAATATCATCTTCAATACTTCATTATAAAATCAACTTTAACCCAACCTCATTATCCTCAATATCCCCCTTATATAATTTCAGAATCTGTTGAGCATAAGTGGCAGGCTCGCGCGCTTCGTAATCCGACTTGGCAAAAGATAATGCTTCGTAATTTGGTTTGGATAAAAAATTATGCTATTCTAAATCAATATTTTTAGGTTCGGACATTCCATAAATATTAAAAAGCTAACTTGGATAATTCCATAATACTTTGACTAATATAACCCTTAATTCGTTTTGTAAACTTACTTACTGATGTTTATATGACTAATATGGCCCTAAAATTTGTTTTGGGATCTTTCACTTTTTCAAATTGAATGTTATGATCAAAATTATTAATATATCAAATTTTTATACATATATATTAAATTTTATATATAGTATATCAAATTAATCATGTCTTGATGAACTTTGATTTGACATCTATATTATACATATAAAATATAAAATAATATTATTTATATTTATAATTAAAATTAAATTATATATTAATATTAATTTGAAAAAAATAATTATTTAAACTAACTTAACTACAAAGTAGTCATGTGATATAAATTTAGAAAAAATATAGAATATAAGATGGTAAGTCGTGTAAGTGATGGTGCTAATTTAAATATAAATAATAATATCTTCTTAAAAAAGTATTTAAAATTTAAAACAATTTTTGTTGTTATTATTATTTAATTTGAAATATATTTTTCTTAACAAGTACCAGTGTAGTACACGTGTATCGTACTAGTTATCATTATAATTAAATATATCAACCAATCATTCTTACATATCACATCAACTTTAATTCATTATTCATTCACTCAAATAATTTTAACTAACCATCATCTCCAATCATTTTTCTCCAATTTACATCGAATTAATTTAATTATTTTATTTTGAATATTAATTTAGTTTAAACTTAAATTTCTACTAACAACTAATCATACCACCCTTTTCAAAATTAACTATGATTAACAAAAATCCAAACACAAAAAACCAATCAAATCTATATCCAATCACACCCTAAAACAGTTAGGGCGTGCTTGTATACAAATATATCTGTTCAAAATAAATTTTTGGATTAACCACGGTTAATTTTAAAAAAATTGGTATGTTTAGTTGTTAATGGAATTATGAGTTTATATTAAAATAATATTGAAAATAGAATAATTAAAGTTGATTTGATGTAGATGTAAGAGAGAGATGGTATGCAGTGATGGTTACTTAAAATAATGTGAGTGAATAATAGGAAAGTAAAATTGATGTGTTGTGTAAGAATAATTGTTTCATATTATCTCGTTATATTGATAATGTTGAGAATATTACAGTTGAGTTAACGTTGAGTTAGATTTGGTATATTAATTGATTATGAATTGAATCCCTTACTCTTTTATAAAGAAGATATTTGTCATAATAGCCCAAGTCATTCACCAAGTGTGGAATTCCTAGGGTCACACATGCGTGCTCACCTAACAGCCGACTCGATACGGACGCTATATCTATGGTCCATTTAACATTAAGGGGTTTATTCATTTGGAATTTTGAATGACATTTGAGATATTTTGAGATTTGACACATTTTAAGATTTTTAGATTTCGAAGGAATCATACGAAATTGTAAGTCTAGAGAGGGGAGTTGGAATAGGATTTCGTGTGGTTTTTCTTTTGAAATCCCACCAAATTTTAAAAGTCTTCACAAATCCTAATCTCAAATAAGTTAAATACCTCGAGATTGTGTAAAACTTTTTAAAATATCAAATGAATACCTCGGGACTTTTTATAGTCTTAAAAAGTTTAAATTAAATACACCAAATTTCTGAAATCTTACAAAGTATTTGAAAATCCCAAACAAATACATCTCTTTAAATGTTTTTTCCAGACTTGAACAATCTAGCTGATTAAGCATGAGCCTTGGTCCCATTTCCTTAAAAAAATTGTTACAAATAACATATATATGCGGAACAGTTTTAGTATCACAATATTGTAATTGTATCATCAAATTTTTTATGGATTAAACTAATATTTTGATCTATTGAAATTGAATTCTAGATGTAGAATACTTTAGGTTAATCTACAAATACAAACATAATGAATTCGATCTAGACTACAACCGTAAACATACGAGTCATGAAGGAAAATTGGTTTTCTTACCTTCATCAACTAACATTCACGAGACCAAAAATTCTATAGAGCCATCCACCACTTAATGTATTGACACCTGTCCAAAGTGTATTTATTGCAGGATACATGTCAATATACTATTGATGAATAAATATGGATGACTCCATAAGCTGAGCCATTCGATGGCTACATAGCAAAACTGATAAAACTATATAGAAAGATGAAAAAAAAAAAATTAAAGAACTTTTAGAAAATTCTATATCTATGTTCTACCAATCTATCCAACAAATATAGTTGAAATATTATTCATTAAATATGGAATGTAAATATACTGTTTATAGTAAACAAGTTTCTTAATATTAAATTTATATAACGTTTATTATGTTATAATACATGTTAACACTCTTACATAAAATACTCATTCTTTATTCCAATAATTATACATATATTTTTCATATATAAAAATATTTTAGTATTATCATTTTAATCACCCTTCATTTTAATCATTAATGCTAGAATATGTTTAGATATAAAAAAAATTAAAAACTATACAGACCAATGTGTATTTATTGCAGGATACATGTCAATACATTATTTGTGGATAACTATGGAGCCATCGGAAGACTCCCTTATGGAGTCATCCATAACTTTATGTATTGACACGTGTCCAATGTGTATTTATTGTAGGACACATGTCAATACACTATTTGTAGAATATTAAGGGATGACTCCATAAGTCGAGTCATACGATAGCTCCATAACAACGATAGTTTATATGAGAATTTTTTAAAAAGAAAAAAATAAAAACTCTATAAAAAATTTCAAGTTGTACTAGATAGTATGTTTTTTAACTTAAAACTTGAAGTCCACATAATTAATATATTTGATTTTTTCAGAAAACATATTTTTCTTAATAAACAAATGATTGTCTTTCAACTTGGTTATGTATTTTTCCTTACTAAATAAATTCTGACTAAAAAATATTGATGATAATGATAATTGACTTCTGATTGGAGTGAGACTCATTAAGGTTAATGATAATTATTTTTTAATTACAGTCCTTTTCATTTTGATATATCTAATATGATAACAATTTTTTCACTAAAAATCTATTAAATATAAGGTCAATTTAGGCAAGCAATTTTTACAAAATCATTTTTATTTTATAATAGTATATATATATTCATATATATATATATATAGATATACAAAAATTAATATAAACGTATTCCTGGAGTTAGAGTTTTTTAGGTTTGTGCTTAAGTGGATACGACTTCTAGAAGCCTTATAATGATTATGTTTTGTTTTTGCTTCTTTATTTTTTTTTTCATTTTCTTTTTGTGTAAATGACACGTTATACGTATGGTTTATAGTTTTGTCAATCACATTGCAAATGTTAAAACTAAAAACAAGAACAAGAAAGATGATAAAAATAAATCAAGAAAGTCATAGCCTCACATCCAATTAATTGGACGTTTTCCATTCAAACATCTTATTAAAAGGAACCAGCTCTATGTCATCAGAAAAATAGATACCATCTTTCCTTGCTTCCCAAAAACATTTACCTTCCGTGCACCTATCACTGTGTTTGGAGGTAAATATATCAAAAGCAATTTCCTTTTTTTCCCACCAAAGATGGCAAAAAAATAAAGTTTTTCTGGAAATACTATCACAAAACTTCCAATGAAAATCAAAGTTTGGAACAACTTCATGATATCCAAGTTCAGTATCACCCGATGCACAGTGAAATTTGAGTTTTGGATACGGAAGCTTGTTGATTAGATGAACCTCATAATTTTCGGTAATACACCCATTGGTTAGGAATATGTAAACGAATAAGATGAGAAGTACCAAAACTTTAGTATCAGTCATGATTAATGCCTTGTACTGATTGTGAAACGCAAAACTTTTTGTGAAGTATTTGGTTGGTTTGGGATTCAATTTATACGTCTTGGAAATCAACATGGAAATATCAAGTGTCATTATAATTCGGACGCATTTAGAAAATATTTCGAATATTGAATTTGATATAGTATACATGTTTGTAATTTGTAATTGACTATGTCAACATTGCCTAGTGAATATTGTGAAGTTGGTCAAATTTTTGGAATGTTATTGTTAGGTGAAACAGAATCTAATTTCAGTGATGGTAGAGTGGATGATAAATTGTTTAATATCATCTTCAATATTTCATTAGGAAAGCAACAAAATAAAATGGATGTGATCCTACATTGATTAAATTTTTATGGTTATATATTTAATTTGCATCGAATTAAATTATGTAACGCCCGCTTATTTATTTTTAAAGGAAAACACGGATTTTCATAAATAATTTGAACTTTTAAAATCATTTTCCAAAAATAATTATATGGACATTACTCAAAAACTCCTCTTTCTTTCAGAACATCCAAAAATAAACATTTCAAAAACATCCACGTTTCATTTATCCAAACATAATCCAAAATAATTCAGAATGTAAAACTTCCAAATCAACAATGGTTTTCATAATAAGTTTGCGGAAATATAAAAACATAAATAGAGATAACCACGCCCGTCCTCCCGTATCCACCAGCAACTCGATCAACATGAAAAACAAATGGGGTGAGCAATCCTCCAACTTTGTGGTAAAATTCATCCTATGCATCGATTTAGCATAAACACAGATAGCATAATAATAATATGAATATGATATCAATCTCTCATAACATAGATACCCGGCTAAGTGACTTATTTCAAGCCGCCGTGGCAAACCGGCTTCAAGCCTCCAGGCAAACTCGGACCAGTGACTCTTATTTCAAGCCTCCATAACTTACCGGCTCCAGGTAAATTCTGACTAGTGATCCTTATTTCAAGACTCCATAATTTACCTTATCGTGGCAATTATACACCGTTAACCTAGTTCATGAACTATTGGTCCAGTAACTGGTTACTACTAGTGCCCATGGTATCAACCGGTCCCGCTAGTAGTAAAATAGCACTTAGCATTTCACATAGTATTGCACTTAGCATAATCGGCCTACCGGCCCACAATGACATACATATAAGAACTATATTACCACAAGGTTATACAAAATAAACCATAGTATAGAACCCCCACCAAGAACCATAGTATAGAACCCCCACAGAAGAGGAGTGATCCAGATAACAAAAGCTGAAGAGCGGCGACTCGTATCACCGGAAAATACCTTTGGAGAAAGGTCCTCTCTAACTCTGCCCATGTAGTGATCGATCCTGAAGGCAAGTAATAAAGCCAGTCCTTTGCAACATCCTTGAGAGAAAATGGAAAAGCGCGTAGCTTGACTTGCTCTTCGGTAACCCCGGTGGGTTTCATACTGGAGCACACCGTGTGAAACTCCTTCAGATGTTTGTGTAGGTCCTCTCCCGCGAGACCATGGAATGAGGGCAGCAAGTGAATCAGCCCGGACTTCAACTCGAAGGTGGTATCGTTCATCTCCGGGAAAGTTATGCAAAGTGGTTGTTGCGGTAGTACGGCATTAGCAAGTTGCCTCAACGTACGCTCCTCGTTTGCCATTAGTGCTTTCTCGGTGGTAAGATTGGTGTGTTCTTGGCTCTGGTCACTCTTACTTTCGTCCTCTAAGTCCTCGCTTTCGATTTCGAACTGGAAACCCTTGTCGAGAATCGCCTCCTTCTCTTGCCGAGCTTTCTTCCTTAGCTCGGTATCCCGTCTCGTGATCTCCGAATAATATTCCAAGTCTTCAGCGCCTGAAGACCTTTTTTTCATTCACCTACAAAAATCAAGAAGAAGTTTATCTCAAACGTGATAAAATTCGGAAATAATTTGATGTAAAAACCCGACGTATTTTCTGTTATCACCGGGGGCGATAACAGAATAGCAGCGAAAATTCACACAAAAAATTCAACCGAAAAACTGAAAACTAACACAAAATAAACTAACTAACACAAGAAAATCACTATTTATATCGCGCCACTCCCCGACAACGGCGCCAAAATTTGACCGCGCGTCGTTACACGACAAATTTGAATTTATAATTTTTCCTCGTCTAACCCTACTAACTAGTAGTAGTGGCGAGCAAGGGTCGATCCCACAGGGAGTGTGGTATAAACCGTGATTATTTTGTATTAATTAGATTTAAGCGAAAATGGGGGGGTTTGATTAGAAACGAAACTACTAACAAAAAGAAAAATTAAACTAGAAACTAGAAATAAATGACTAAAATGCAAATGATGACGAAATCGAAAATAAACAAATAATCTAATAAAAATAAGAATGAAATCGGTCACAGGTTGGTCTACACCCTCGAATAACTAGCCCAATTAATGCTTTTATCAAATTTCACTCGTCTTCTAAAATTACCGGTCCTAGATAGCAATAAGCTCTGCTACCCGAATTTTCCCTTAATTTTTACTTAATCGAAATAGGCTCTTCAATTAATTCTAACTAGCGAATAACTCGGAATAAGCTCTCCTAATTTAACCCACTAGTCGCATTAAAATCTAGGAAAATAGACCGATCTAAGCCACAAACACATAAGCTCGGTTCATGTAACTTATGTTGAGTTATCCCTAACAATGCACGACTGTTAGTTGCTACAATTGAATTAAGAACTACGACAATTACAGATCGAAGCCTCAACTCTAGCAATTAACATGCAATTCCTAACTTAGGTGATCAAGCTAAATTAAAAATCACACATTATGACATGAAAATAGAATAACACAATCAACTTTATACGACGAGTAAAACGAAATAAATAGCATTAATCAAACATAGTCATCGAGGGTTCAACGTCCCTAGAACCGAAATAAGTATTTAGCTACACATAGCTAAATAATAAAAATAAAAATAATAATCCATAATGTTCAATCAAAATAAACCAAAGCAAATAAAACTAAATAAAACAAACTCCCTCAATGTCCACGGCTAAAGTGAATTCTCCGCAACAATGGAATTTTTCTCCCTTTGTTCACGTACTCCAAAAAATAAAAATCGACCCAGCCTCTTTGCCTCTTAATTCGTCCTAAGCAATGTCACACAGACTCCAAGCAAAATTGAGTCTCCCACTCCAATTAAATTCCTTTATCCTCCAAATTCGGTCAAGCAATTGAGAGTCCACTATAATTAAAATTCACTTGCCCAAGTAAACATTCCAAGAGTCCAGCAAGCAAAAAAATAAATTCCATTTAACTTGGAACAACTCTCAAAATTTCAGCCACAACAACAATAAAGAATCCTCATCTTCATTTTTTTTCTTTTGCTTTTAAATCCTTGGTTACGTTAAATTAAGTACATGTCATTTCCTAGATAGCTTCCACCTCACCAATGCCAAGTCATCATTGGGCATAATATAAAAAAGGGCTTAATCTGCAAAATAAACACAAACCCCGAATATCGGTGTATGTCCGTTCACAAAATAAAATACGTGAGAAAACTTTAATAATACACTTAACTCAAATACTAAATTATGCAAATTAACTCACAAATAAATATAAGATTTCTCACGTATCAAATCTCCCCAAACTTAAATTGTTGCTTGTCTCCAAGCAACATAGAACTAGAAACACAAAGAACAGACAAAACAAACAAAACAAGTACGTGGAATTTTCGCTCAGGTCCTCACACATCTCACATAAAGCATAGTTACAACTTCCTAAATTAATAATCCCGGACTCGAAATGAAAGCATCTTTAAAACGCCAATAATCAAATATCAATTCAGTGAATTACCGCGGCTCATCAATCTCTTCACCGAATATACCAATCATGCAACTAACGACATCCCTTTCTTTTCCAACTGGTTTAGTTCCTCTTCGCTTCTAGCCAGAAATCAAAAGTCTCGTTTTTTTTTTCTTTTTTTTTTCTCTTTTTTTTGTTGTGGGAACAGCAGCTCCGTCACAGTCTATGGTCTATAGCTATTCGTGCTGGAGTGTTGCACTAAAGCTTCACATACTGGCAGCTGTTGCAGCCCACGATCTTTTTTTTTTTTCTCTTTTTTTCTTTTCTTTTTTTTTTTTCTCAACACCCATTATTCTTTTTCCTCCACATTCATTATTCACACCCTTTTTTTTTCTTTTTTTTTTCGAGACAATCAACTCCCAACTTTCCACGTCAAGTTACCTCACACAATCGACATCAAGCAAAATAGTCACCAGCACATTTCAAGAATATAAACAGTTCAGGACCAACTCACTACAAATAAAACACATAAATGTCAACCGTCATGTCTTTGTCCCTCAAACAACAACACTTCAAGAATTTAACCAGAAATAATTAACCCAAGTCATCATAACTAGCACAATAATTTCAACAGTCACTCAATTCATCATTGCGAAACTCTACATACGACACACCAAAAACTCAATTTATTTTTTTCATTATTCTCAACCAAAAGCAGCTACACAACTAAACTCAACTAGATATGACCCTAACCAAATCAAAAAGCAAACCAAGCAAACATATATGCACATAAAATATAGCCCAACTACACCCGTCAACAAAACCTCCCCAAACTTAATCTCTACTATAAAGCACAATAAGGGAATCGAAATCACCAGATCATTGACGGGTGGTCCTCTTTGCTTGCTGCTGTTGTGAGTCCTCTGTCGCTCATCGACTAATGTGAGTCCTTCGTCACTGCCTGACTCGTCGGTGCAAGTCTGGTGCTCGACCGGATCTTCGAGTGCGCTGTTATCGGGGGAGGCGGTAGCAGTACGGTTCTACTCCGTATCGCCTTGTTCTTCATTCTCTTCATCGTTTAGCTCAAAACTACGCTTGTTCAGCACCTCCAAGTCCATGTCGCTGCCCTACTGAAAAAAAAAAAAAGAATTCAACCGTGGAGATAAAATTGAACTAATCAAAATACTAATACTAATAGAAAAAAGAAAACAAATATTGGGTTGCCTCCCAACTAGCGCCCTTTTTTATTGTCGTTGGCTCGACTTATTACTTTCCTTTTTCTTCAAGCTATCCATGGCGGATTCAGAGGTGGCCTCAAAGGAGGCACA